TTAAACACTCCATAGCCAATGACTTCAAAGAAAATAACAATCACTTTTGTGAGCCAAAATATAACATCTGAATGATAGAAACTGTAGAGGATATAACCAACACCTCCAATGAGAAATGATGTGAAGCAAAGCAATGTTCCAGCCATTATGATTCTTTTTCTAACGATCTACACATCAGACATAAGAGCAAAAACAGGGAACAGAAGGAAGAAGACGTAATAAAGAGCATCAAGACCAGTCTGTATATAACTTGCTTTGTTGCTGGCATTGCTTCCTGTCCCTGTGAGAGAGCTGAATTCGAAATATCTAAAAAACACAATTTGTGTGTACATCAGAAAATCCCAAGTGAGGACTAAGATGACAGCAAAAAAAGAGCTGCACCATTTCTTGACAGAGAAAAGGCAGCTAGCCATGCTCATGCAAACTGAAAATATGTTTACACAAAATATATTACACAACAGTTAATGCACTAATGTAAACAAGACACAATGTATAATGCAATTTCAACATTTAAAGTAAAACTTTCATGTATCACATACAATTACTTGTTTTACTGGAAGTACATTGTGATAGCAAACAAATCAACAATAATTATTTTTCAACAGCTAGTGTCTTGTTAAATAAGAATCATTATTTTGTATGCATAAAAGGCTGTAAATTGGTCATTAATATTAAGGTTAATAAAGCATGAGTGTATATCATCTAGCTAAGTAAACTTCCTTAACAAAAATGGTAAATGTAATTATTATTATTACATGTATGTACACTACAAACACCATGTAGTAAGGTTTCCTACAAAGCATGCCAATTAGCAGCAATTTTTAGTTCAATAATTTACTAAATTGGATTTAGCTTATAGAATTAAAGAATAATTTTTTAAATGGCTATCCATGTAAAAATTAAATTTAGATAGAAATCAGTTGAAACTTTAAAATAATCATAAATATGTTTACAAAATACCCTGTATTGTAACAGTCTAGGTCAAAAATGACTAGGAAAGATTTATTCTTTTTATAATCTTTTGGATGCATATACATGTTTTTATGTTGTGTAGAAAGTTTGAGCTGGTTTTGTTCAAATTTGGATTTTTTATGAATTTTTTAATTTGCTTTAAAATTGAGCAAAAGTCCCTGTACTATAGTACACGGCAAGCCAAATTTTCACAAAAATGACTAGAAGAGAATTCTCCATTTTTATATTTTTTTTCTGATGCATATACATGTACTTAGGTTGTGTAGAAAGTTTGAGCTGGTTCTGATCAAATTTGAATTTTTTATGAAGTTTTTAATTTGCTCGAAATTGAACAAAAGTCCCTGTACTACAGTACACGGTCTCAAGCCAAATTTTTACAAAAATGACTAGAAGAGAATTCTCCATTTTTATAATTTTTTCTGATGCATATACATGTATTTATGTTGTGTAGAAAGTTTGAGTTGGTTCCGATCAAATTTAGATTTTTTTATGAATTTTTTAATTAGCTTTAAAATTGAGCAAAAGTCCCTGTACTACAGTACACAGTCTCAAGCCAAATTTTGACAAAAATGACTAGAAAAGAATTTTCCATTTTTATAATTTTTTTCTGATGCATATACATGTACTTATGTTGTGTAGAAAGTTTGTGCTGGTTCCAATCAAATTTGGTTTTTTGTCAATTTTTTAATTTGCTTTAAAATTTAGTGAAAATCCCTGTACTATAGTATACGGTTTCAAGCTAAATTTTCACAAAAATGACTAAAAAAGATTTCTCAATTTTTATAATTTTTTCTGATGCATATACATGTACTTTTGTTGCATAAAAAGTTTGAGCTGATTCCAATCAAATTTTGATTTTTTATGAATTTTTAAAGAGCTCAAAAATTGGGCCAAGGACCATAGAGACTTTGGCCAAACTTTATCGCAAATGACAAAAAGAATTATCCATTATTATTTTGGAGAGTATGTATGGTTCTCCAGGTTTATTCCATGTTATAAAACAGTTTGCATGCATGGCTAGTAGCTACTGGCTTGATCTATTTGTATATTATCATCTCTTTATATCTTAAAGTATTGGTAATTATAGATCTATCATGAATGGTTGTACTATGTCTAATTAATACCATTATTATATATTACATGACATTCTTTTTCTCTCTCACTCACTCTCTCTTTATTTTTCTACATTTTAGTCTCCCTTCTTTATAGCTAAGTGAATGGCCATTCTTCAGTAAAGTAATTAATGCATGGTATATGTATGCATGTATGTACATGCATTATAGTTGCTAATAGTGTGATGTGAATGTGTGTGTGTAAACATGTGAATGTGTGCATGTGTGCATGCCATTTTATTCAGAATATTTCAATAAAAAAATCATTTTCAGTTTGCTTTGACTTAAGGCCTTTTCACACTGGCACAGTTTTCAAAGCGCTTTGATGCGCTTTGTTGATACAGCTGAAATAATGCGCATTGATCGTGTTCACACTAGCAGCTGAATTATGTATCATTTTGTGTTCTTGTTGCCATTGGTTTACATTGATCGAAGCGCATCACTTCACATCAATCCACCTCTGGAGGTGAAGTGAGACTGATGCGCATCAATGCGCATTAATTGAAAACCACTCTAGTGTGAACACGATTAATGCGCATCAATGCGCATTACTTTGGCCAGTGTGAAAAGGCCTTTAATTCTTTTCATTTCCTTGTACATCATACCCCCCCTCCTTATATTGACAAATCTAGTCATAAGTATTAAAAAACTTTAGTGAAACATTTTAATAGCATGAAAAGTTTATAGATCTAACTACATTTTACATAGTCTACATAAAACATCATTTCTGATCTAGACAAAATACAGGTTATACTTAATAATACTCAACGGACGTATATTTCAAAAATATCAATTGGAGTAGCTTCATCAGGATATCCCTCACTGCTACACATCCTCAGCTCAATATCATCAGTAACTGACTGAGGTAAGGTTTTAATAAACCAGGGGATTCTAGAACTGGAGCAACAAGGAGACTCAAGATAATCACATTGCTGACCGTCCCACATTATATCATCAGGGTAAAACCTATTATTCTGGATATTTGAGGATGTTGCTCCTGATTCACAGTAGTAATCATTACCAACATATGATGGTGAAGTAGTTGTTGAACCATTATTACAGGGACATGAATGTACTAGTATCCCATTTTCAGTATTTCCAACAACATAAGTCCAGATATGTTGACGTGGATTGCTTCCATGAGTAATTGATAAACCATCAACATAAGCACCATCAATGTTTGGAGAGCCTCCACCAATGTTTGGATAAAAACCATCAGGAGGTCCATACTGATATCCTCTGGCCTGTCCACAGACTTTAGTATAGCTCAATCCAATGGCTGAAAAGAATGTTGAATTACATCCATCTCCTGATCCCTGAGATTTATCACATAGTGTTTTGCCTCCATACGTGTAGCTGTAGAGACCTTGAGGACAGGTAGCACCAGGTTCTGTCATGTTAATGTATCCTATCCTCATCCAGCCACCATTACCATCACAGTTACTACCCTCCATATCACAGTACACACTAACAATACTTCCATTACTTTGACTGATGTTATAATAGCCTGATGCTGCATTGGGAATGTTCTCTAATACATCGCTACAAGAATAGGGAAGGGGATTGTATATTCCCAATGAATTACAAAA